CGGGGGAAAAGAGCTGGGGGGAAGAGGGGTGGTGGGTTATGAAGGTTAAGAAAAAAACTGAAACAGAAAAAAAAAAAAAAAAAAAAAGGGGGAGGGGGGAAATTAAGAACACCCCTCAGAAGGCAACCTATTGGAAAATATAACTCCCCACAACAAGCAAGTAGAAAAGAAAGAAGGAAAGGAAAAAGTAAGAAAAAAAGGCTGTAAAGAAGCAACTCGCAGACAAAGAGACCAGAAGTACAGGGGGAGGAGACAGAGAACAGAGAAAAAGAAGAAAAAACACTGCGAAAATGCAAGAAAAGAATCAGAAAGCGAGCTAAGCAGAAGGAAGAGACCTTTAGACAGGTGGGAGTCAGAAAAGAAAAGTAATAGGAACCTGGGAGTCTTACACTCAGGTTCGCCCCATGCAGCTCCAAGTGAGCCTGGTCCAGTGCGTCCAAAGCAGAATGAAGGAAGGAGGGAAGCAGGGAGGGGCAGGGGGGGCCCGGGTGGCCGTCCCCTGCCACCTCTCCCCACTGCCCGGCCCCAACAATAGCTGGCAGGGAGGGGGAGGTGGCGGGGAGGGAGAGAGGGAAGCAGGGAGGGGAGGGAAAGTGGGAGGAAGCCCCGCTGCAAGGCAGAGACAAGCAGAGGAAGGGAGCCCCCCATCGGATGCTGGAGGAGGAGGCGGCAGTGGCGGAGGGAGTCTTTACATGGCCAGCTCCAAAGAGTGAGTTGGGGGTGAGGGGGGATCATGTAAACACTCCTTGAAATCCATCATTCTTGATGGGCAATGAGCTAGTTTTTCTATAATTGTTCTGCAAGAACAGTTTTTCCAACAATTTACTTGGTCTAATAAAAGATATCACATTTACCCAAAGAACCTTATCTGCCTATGTCCTTAGACCAACACAGCTATGACCACCAACCCTGAAACATGATTCCAGTGAGATTTACATGTGCTTAAATGCCTTGCTGAACTAATACTTAAATAATTTTTGGGAGAAACTCCAGGCTGGAAACAAATCAGTCAGTGCTTAGCGCTGTCAGATACTGAGGACCATTTGTAGCATTCTTAGTGCCACGACAGAGGATCAGACCTCTCATCAGGTGTGTACAGTGAAGCTGAGGCTAAACACAGATGACCAGTTTTCACAGGACAAAGACTTTTATCCTGGAGTTCTACAAATTCAGTGTTCCACTTCAAGTACCCATGAAGTATCCAAATTAACACTTTTCCTCAGGACAATCAAGCTGCCTGTGTAAATGACTGTATGCTCCCCTCTCTTGCTGACCCCTCCTCCCCACCCTGTTTTGATGTTAGTCAAAACCTGAGACAATCAGCCCAGGATTAAACCTGTCCTCCATTTTTAGCATCAGTGGGCACATCTACATGAGAGACTACTGCGCAGGCATTACTGCACATGTATTACCAAGCACCAAATAAATGTGCAGTAACTGGACTTACTGCTCAATAATTCCGGCAAACATCTTTTAGGTGATGCTACTGAGCAGTAGCCTAATAATACTGCTCAGAGGGGTATTAGCACTGTCTGTGCTGTGACATGCTACTGTGGAATATTTTTCAGCTCCTGCACAGTTAGTGTCTTATGTAGACCCTCCCTGTGAAACTTAGAATTTGCTTTTTTTCTTTTTTGGTAACAAATTTGAATTCAAATCACTTTTACTAAAACAAATTCAACAAATTTGAGTAGCTTCTGGGTTTGCATCAGATCATACAAAATTAGCAGGTTTTTATGATTTCACAGTAAGACACTGAATGATGCCTGGAAGTTTCAATTGTTTTTTGTGTTGAGATTCTGGGTTCATGTGAAAACTCAGTGACCCTATGAATCAGAACCAAAGGAAATGTTCAGATGATCTCCTACAAAGGGAAACATCCAATTTTTGTAGTGTTAGTTAAAACTACATAATCAGGAATGAGAATATAATGTACCCCATCCAGCATTATTTGGTGTCATTAGGACTAAGTGAAGGTATCTACACATGCACTTTACTGCAGAGCTGACTAATTAGCTCCGCAGTAAAGTGTTACCATCTACACATATGGTGCTACTGGGCCACAGTAAACTAATTAACTCTGCCGTAGGATAGTACTGCCAGGCACAACTACTATTCTACAGCAGTTATTTAGTGTGCTGCGATACAAGTGAAGCTGGAAAACTGCCGCAGCTCAACATGCTGAGGTCCTCTGCACACATGTAAACGCTGCACCCAGGAGCAATAAACTATGCCACAAACTGCACTAGAGTCTATTCAAGCGCACATATTTCACATGTAGATGCACCCAGTGGGCATGTGGACATATGCATTTACTGCACCATAACCGGGAATAGAGCCAGTGTCTACACATGCAGTTAACCTGGGACTAGATTTAGACCCAGGTTAGAGCAGTCTGCCATGTGCCCCTGTGGCCACCAGAGGGAGCTCCAGCCTCTGGTCACATGGCTGCCTGCACTTGAAAGCCATGCTGAGCCCAGAGGCAGCTGCCAGCACTTGGCAGCCATCTTAAAAGCACACCAGCCCCTACCCTGCCCAAGGGCTGCATGCTCAGCACAGGGCCAGCACATAGCAGCCACCTCCCTGCCCACCCTGCCTCCCCATACCACCCCTGCCCCTTCCCCTGGCCCCGCCCCTGCCAGCGGTGCACCTTGCCCCACAGCTCCAGCCCAGCCCCTGCCAGCAATGACCAGCACCCTGCGCTGATGCTGGCCATGGTTCTGGCCCTGCTGGCCTCACCAGGTCCCCCCTGCCCAGCCCCCAGGACAGCCACACACCTGCTAGCCAGGGCCAAGACACTGGCAGCAGCAGGATCTGGCCAACTCCCTCCTCTTGCACTCCCCACTCAGCCCATCTGCCCTGCTGTCCACACATCCCTGACCCCCTGCCCACCTCCAGCACTACTCCAGGACACATACGTAGGTCAAACAGTACAAACTTTATTAAAACAGCAAACACCCACTATCCCACCTCCCTCTCCACTCAACAAACAGCACCCTCCCTCTTTTTCCCCACACACACAGCGCCCCTCCACCCCCAAACAATAAAAACCCTGGTCCCCAAACTTAAAGGACACATTACATATCTGACCCGGTCCCCGAGTCCATCTGTGCAGGGCTGAGAAGTGAGGCCACCCAGGGCGGAGAACCCAGCAGCAGAAGGCCAGCACCCTGGACAGATGGTTCACCACAGGTCTGGGGGCCTCAGCAAAGGCCAGGGATGCCTGCAGCTGGCCGGCACTGTGGAACCTCCTCCAGTAAGCTCCCGGAGACCTGCTGCAAGGCAGTGGGTGGAACCCAGGGGCCCTGTGGGGCTAAGGAATGGGGCAAGCCATGGGCGGTATGGGCACAGATTCTGCTGGGTGGCCCTGGGTGGCCAGCTGCTGCTGCAGCAGCAGCTACAGAGGTACCAGCTCCTCCCAGTAGGCCTAGCATGCCTGCAACTGTGCCTCACTGGGTGGCCTCCCAGACAAGGTCTTCTGCCTACCATACCTTCTGGTCCACCACCCAACATTCCAAGGCCACCACCAGCTTTTGGAACAGGCAGGTCCCATCAAGGCTGCACCGCTGGTGCAGTCAGCACCTCTGGGTCGCTCCAGCAGTGGGTGGTGGCGAGGTTGTGGTGGTGGTAGTGCAGGCCCCTGTGGCATCTCCCCGACATCTATATGTTAGCTCTGCAGATGCAAGAAGCAGAAGGCTTTTGTGAGAGTTTGCAACATTTGAGAGATAAGATGCTCTGCTCCAGGAGCTCTGCACTGCCTCAGATCAGAGGGCAACAGCATGCAGGTGCCCAGGGACCATGGTAAGCTGGTCAGGCAGGCCTGGGCTGAGGCCTGGGTGGGTGCTGCCCAAGCCCTCCATCCCAGCTTGCTCCCCAGAGGCTGGCTGCAGGCCACCTGCCTCCCCTGCCCCCTTCTCAGGGCAAGACAGGCCAGACTGCTGGCAGCACCTGCTGCCGTGGTTCCAGCCCCCACTGACACCCCTCTCCCCCGCCTCTGCAGACCCACTGCTCATCTGCACCACTGCCCAGCCCCTGGCACCCGGGCTCTGAATGCATGGGGCTCCTGGACAACTGAGGTGAGGGGCAGGGCATGCCCCCGCCCTCTCCTCTGGTACCTCTCTGTGATGCTGGCCATGGACTGGCAGCAGCACTCCCAACAGGGACATGGCCAGGGAGTCACAGCTGCACAGCCAAGGCGCTTCACCATGGTCCTGTAAAGAGAGAGAGATGAGGGGTGAACAGCACTGGGGAGCAGGTGGTGGCCCTGGTGGCACAGCCAGCAGAGCCAGCAGCCCTCATGGGATCACAGGGCTGGGCAAGGAGTGCAGCAAACTGCAGCCCTTACCTATGGCCAGGCAGCAGCTCAGGACAGGGACAACCCAGGCAAGCACAGCATGTGGACTGTCCAGGGGGCACACAGGGCCTGCTGGGGTGCAGCAAGCAGAAGCTGCTCTTTCAGGCTCCCTGTAGTTGTACCCCAAGGCACAAAATATCTGCAGGCTTTTATACCCTGCAACTAGGGGCTGCCAGAGAGCAGCACATGGGGCCTGCTGTCAGGGGTGCCTGTTGGGGGTTCTGCTGCCAGCCCTCCAGAGCCAGCAGCAGGAGAGGGGGGCAGGCAGGAGCCCTGGGGCTGGGCTCTGGCTGGCCCCCTAGTGGCTGGGCAGACCCAGCCTGGAAGCTCCCACGATATTGTGCAGTAACGCGTCTACACGTTCAACATCTTCATCAGCGACTTGAACGAGGGGGTGGAAAACACGTTGTCCAAGTTTGCCAATGACACCAAGATGTGGGGAGAGGTAGGCACACTCAAAGGGAGAGAGAGGCTGCAATTAGATTTAGACAGACTACAGAAGTGGGAGGATGGTAATAGGATGGGGTTCAATGTAGATAAATGCAGGGTGCTACAGCTGGGGAGAAGGAATCCACAGCATACATACAAGCTGGGGAGCTCCCCACTTGTGAGCACAGAGGCAGAAAGGGATCTTGGAGTCATTACTGACTCCAAGATGAACATGAGCTGCCAATGCCAGACCACACCCAGCAAAGCCAACCGCACCTTGTCATGCATCCAAAGGTGCATCTCAAGCCGGTCCAGAGAGGTGATAATCCCCCTGTACATGACATTGGTCCAGCCACAATTGGAGTACTGCGTCCAGTTCTGGGCACCACACTTTAAGAAGGATGTGGCCTGCCTTCAGAGGGTTCAGAGGAGGGCCACCCGCTTGGTTGGACAGCAACAGGGCAGGCCCTATGAGGAGAGGCTGAGGGACCTGAACCTGTTCAGCCTCAGCAAGCAGAGGCCTGGAGTCTTTAGTGATTTACCATTTTCCTTTGATTATAAGCTTGGCCTTGAGTAGGATAAATCATCTGTAGCCTGACTACATGTAGCCAGGGTATTCCCCAATAAATAACTTTCCACTGTTTTCATTAGGACCCTTACTTTGTTATTGTTTTGTCTTTTTTACTTTATTCCTTCACCAACCCTTTTGATTTGCATTCAAATCAAACATTATCAGACATGTAACCTGGGGACTTTTTTTTTTTTAAATACTACATATAACTATTTCATTCTCCACATTCAGGCACCCAAAACTTCCAATGAAAGTAAAGTAGTGAAGTCAGTGGAATCTAGGTAGTTCAGAGGAGGTAGTACTGGGCCCAACATTTGATACTTCTCACACTCTAACTTCTGCAGTCGTTCCTTGTCCAATAACAACATACATCTGCTCAACATGCACTGATACATTCTGAAGGTAAAATTAAAGTATTTCGTAGGATTCTTTGCTTGATTTGAAGCCAGTGGAGTTAAGCTAATTTACACTAGCTAAGGATCTGCATGTTCATTAATTCAACATATGGTCTGAGGCATGTTAGAGAGCTGTATTTTATAAAGATAAAGTGAATTTAAATAAACCACTCAGAGCAGTGTGTTGGGTACCATGAAGTCAGAGGTGAGGAAACCAAATTGCTGTCTACTCCTTCTTTGGTAGAGAGTTATCCATTGTCACTCAGTGAGATGGTGTAGGTACTGAGAGCTATAGTCACGTTTGCCTGCTAGGTACTGATCATCAGCTATCCTTCAATATGAGGATAATGTCTATCAGGGTGATTCCTGGTGTGTTTTAAGGTGGCTGAGGAGTCCAGTCTGTGCTCTGCAAGTTTTTCCACAGATATGACATGTGGTGCCTTGGGTGGGGGGGTACACTTGTTGGCCAGGATGTTGCGCACTTTCCTTCCTCCTCTGCCATTTCCCAGCTTCCTGAACAAAACAGTTCTCTTCAAAGTGGACTGTAGCTTGATGTATGATGCAGTGCCATTGAGCCCTATTACCACCCAGCACTTCCCAATTGATAGGGTTGATGCCACCCTTCTTAAGGTATGCTTTCAGGGTGTCCTTGCAGTGCTTCCTCTGTCCTCTGCGGATCCTCTTACCATGACTAAGTTAAGAAAAGACTTGCTTCAGGAGACAAGTGTCAGCCATCCACACACAGTGGCCAGCCCAGCAGAGTTGAAGGTTCATGATCTTTGCCTCAATGCTGGCTAGGTTAGCTGCAGAGAAGATGCTGGCATTGGTGCAGTGGTCTTCCCATCTAATGTGAAGGATCTTACTGAGGCAACATTTCTTGAAGAACCATTCTAGACCCTTAAGATGGCTTTTAATGACCCACAACTCATACCTGTAGAGGACCATGGGGACAACCACTGCATTGTAGACCAGGAGCTAAGTTTCCATCTGCAGATCTCAGTCAGCAAAGATACAGAGAAGCAGTTTTCCGAAGGATATGCTGAAACAGCGAATCCTATGTTCGATTTCTGCATCATGACTGACTGACTAGGAGAGGTGACTGCCAAGGTATGGGAAATGCTCAACGTTTTCCAGGTATTCTCCACGAATCATCATTTGTGGGCGGTGAGGGGGCAGCTTGTGCTGGGGCAGGCTGATGGAGCACCTTGGTCTTCCCAATGTTAAGGAAGAGTCCCAGGTTGTGATAGGCACCTGAAAAAAGGTCAAGGGTAGATTGCAGATTGGTCTCAGTGTGCATGAGGATGACATAGTCATCAGTGTACTGAAGGTCAGTGATGCTAGTTTTGGTAACTTTTGTTTTGCTGCAGAGGCACCGCAGGTTGAAAAGCTGACTGTCCAGTCGATACTCAACCCCAATTCCAAGAGGAAGGTGGTCATGGATGAGAATCAGAATCACAATATGATAGATGGAAAAAAGTGTTGGAGTGAGGATGGAGCCCTATTTGATACCAGTATGGATGGTAAATGAGTCTGTCTCTGATCCATTGTAAAGGACTGTGGTGGTCATCCTGTCATGGAGTAGCCTGAGGACACTGATGAAGTTCAGTGGACAACTAAACCTACCCAACACCTTCCATAAGGCTTCATGACTGATGGAGTCGAAGGCCTTGGTTAGGTCAATGAATGCCATAAACAGATCCTGGTTTTGCTCTCTACACTTCTAGGTATATATTGGGCCTATTACTGAAGTATTTTGTTACTGCTTCCATTCAGGAAGGCAACAGGCCACCCACCCTAAACAGTTAATGACAGGTAGGTGCCTTAATTTAGTCACTCCAATGCCTAATAGTTAAGCATCTTACCATGGAAAAAGTAATTCAAATCAACTAGGTTACACCTGTAAGATCCCTGTGCAGCATAGGAGACAGATAGTCACTTCCAAAGGGCAAACCAGACCTTCCTGGGCAGGGAAGCAACTACAGCTTATTAAATAAAAATGCTAGGCACAGGTGTGTGTCTCAACTCTCACTCTTCATCAGAGATTAGGTGACTGACTTAAACAGAAGTGCACCTTCCAGCTGTAACTCAGAGCGATTTTTGCAAAGTGTTCCGAGTTACACCATTAGCCCAGACCAAACAGAAGTTCACTGTTCCAGGAGAAGGAGAATCTAGCTGTGGGCTGGGAGCCTGCAGCCAGGTTCCCATAACAACTGCCAGGGCTCTCTGCCAGTGCTTGCTGTTCTCCAAATGGGAGGGGGAAAAGGCAGTGGAGGGAGCTTGTTCTTGGGGCTCCCCAGCTGGTGCTGAAGGGTGGGGTAGGTGAATTGGAGCCCACCCCACCTCTGAGGGGGTCTCCAATACACCCACCCCATCCCTTGGGGGGCTGAAAAAAGTCCAGAATTAACTCCCTCTACTCCCTTCCCCACTCCCAGTCTGAAAACAACAGCTGGGTCAAGCTTCGGGGGGGAGAGGGCGGGGGGAGGTGAGAGAGACCTAACTGTAGGCGTTTTCTACAGGCCACCGAACCATGAGGAGGAACTCGATCTGGAGTTCTCTCAAGAACTGACAGAGGCTGCGCGTGCAAGGGACTTCGTTGTCATGGGCAACTTCAATTACCCGGACATAGATTGGGAGGAACACTTGGCTACGTCGGATAGGTCATGTAGCTTCTTAACTATAATTGAGGAGCTCTTTCTGACCCAGGAAGTGCAAGGGCCAACCAGACGTACCTCTCTCCTAGACTTGGTCTTGACCAAAGGAGATGATCTGGTGTGTGGCTTGAACGTTGAGGGTAGCCTGGGCGACAGCAACCATGAGCTCATCAGGTTCACTGCTTGCCACAAGGTTGACAAATCAACTAGCAGGATTGAAGTCCTGGACTTCAAAAATGCTGACTTCAACAGGCTCGAGGCATTAGTAGGGGAGGCGATGTAGGACCAGGGATGTAAGGTGAATGGGGTGCATGAAGAGTGGTCCTTCCTCAAGGACACGATCCTCAAAGCACAAAAGAAAACTGTTCCCATGAAGAGGAAAGGTAGCAGAAGGGCTGGCAAGCCCTCCTGGCTCGATAAGGACATCGCGGTTCTCTTGAAAAAGAAAAAAGAGGCATACACACAATGGAATTTAGAGACAGTCCTCAAGGAGGACTATAGAACAGTGGTCCACACTTGTAGGGAA